AAGGGTTTCAAAGGGACATCATTTAGTTCTGTCTCAGAGTAATAGTCCTCTTTTCTCAAGATCTATTTTATCAGCATTATTTGCGCTCCAAAAACGACCACTGCCACTGTGTCCTGAAATCAGGAGATCAGTCCTCCGAACAAAATAAAAAGTGGAAATCAAACGAAAATAATGAGCAGCTTAGGGCCATATAAAGAAAACTGGGCTATATGAAAGTGGACCATGTCTTATACAAATCCGTAGGTATTGCATACTAGCTCCAGTAGCTACAGTGCCACTGGAATTATTGCCTGTTGCGGGACCAAGGTGTTGAAAAGAAGTTCCTAATTGTTGTCTTATTGCTGGAGACTGCTAGCACTGTGCTGTCATGCAAATACGCTTGATTTCTGAGCACTGTCACAGGATTGCTGGCCCCTTGAGGATGTCTCTATTTTATTGTACCACAACCTTTTTGCTCTGACCTCATTGTAACAACCTCTTTAATGAGTCCAGCACACATTTAGAAAACAGAAGGATATTTTTCTTCTTTATCTCAAGAACCGTTCCAATATACAGGCAACTTCTCCAGAGACAGACAAAAGATATCTGCTCCTGCTCTCTCACTGGGAGCATGGACTCAACGGAAAATCCTGTTTTTAAGATATAGTTGCTCCATGTTCTCAGTTAGAGAAAACACCAGCAAACCAAACTATACTACATGTATTTTATGGAATCTCTCCCTGGTTTTAAAGATATGCCGGTCTGTCAATCTTTTTCAGTTGTCGACTTCAATTACGTATTTTAGTATTAATCAAAAAATGTTTTAAAATTAATTTGGCACATTTTAATCACAGCAGGATTATAAATCAAGGTAGGGGTTTCTGGAACCGAATCAGCAGTTTATTTAAAGATAAAATGGCAGCTATGAATAATGAGAATATTAAAGAATAATATTCTTTTTTTAGCATATCTACAAAAGCCAATACTTCTACTGTTTTCCTTGAAACGGCTCTACATGATTGATGACACCATCATCTAAAGTCTAATCCAGGAGTCCGTATGTTAAAAATAAGGAAATGGCTAACTGCAGTTACTTACAATAGGTACTTTAATGCTGTATATCACAGTGTATCTGGATTTACATTTACAGAAAGGCTATTGAATTCACATAATAACATAATTTGTGGTGCACTGCAAAGGCATGGTATAGCAGAAAAGAATGCAACTGGTGCTTAATAATCCTGCCCACAGGACCAGCAGTTGTGAAAGGCAGCTTTTATGCAGCACAAAAAACCCTTTCCTGTGTGTCTGTCGCATAGATTATCAGGGTTGGCATTTCAGTGTTCTTATCCAGCCTAGGGATAGAGACTCACACTGGGAATTATGCATGTCTTTGGCCAGGCAAAGCCTTTTTATTCCAAGTTCTTGAAATTCGTGCTGTAAAAAAAAAACTGGTTTACTTCTCACATTCGTTTTTTTTTTATTGCCAACTGCTGCAGGAGTGGGTCCCTGTGCTGTCCCATGGGGATTACAGAAAAGGGTTCAGAAGTGGATATGCATGGATCATGACTTGGGAAGCAAGCAAATGCCATCATTTCCTCTATGTTTCGATTTGGATGGTCCATAGAAATAGATAGAAATGCATGAAAAGCAGTTCGCTTTTCACGTGCTTTGCCTTTCTCCAGTCATGTATATCTGACTTAAGTCTGGGATGTCGAAATACCACATGCTGTAATACTCTTTAGCACTCTGATAACTTATCAAAAGCCTGACCCACAGATGTGCTCGGGATTAACTGGATACCTGGGACAAGGCAGCTGTCTGCAAAACCCTCTACTTTTAATTCCTTTGCAAAGTTGAATGGCAGCAACGTAGCTGTTTTGTCCATGTTTTTCAACGACCATATGATATTTACAGAATCTCTCAACCAATTATTTTTCGAGATACTAGTGAGCTTATTAGTCATTCTCAAACAAGAATGCACCTTTGTCTTATGGCATTACAGATGAGTACTTGTTATCACACAGTTGTGTAATTGTCTGGTAATCTCCTCTAATCAGGTTTTACAATGCAGAGTGATTTTCATGGGATTAGCGTATGCACAATACACTGAAATTTCTAAGGGTTTATAATATAACGTCTGAAGTTTTTTCTTGAAATTATTTATGTCGTTGTTTCTATGAAGGAGCTAAATGAAATGATGTAATGGATTATTAAAATCACAGTTTCATGTGAGTAGGATGGAAATGTTTCTTAAAATAATGTAGCTTGAACAGAGAAGGATAATAAGCCTTATAGTCCAGAAGCTGCCTCTTGAACCCATGACTTGGTCATGGTATGAGCTAACTGTGACAGGATCATTCAAGTGATGGTGCACAAGTGGTCAAGGGCTGCCAAAGGCAGGGTGAGCTTGAGCTGACCAGGCAACCCCTGGCACATGCAGGATTGAGTGTGTCCATGCAGTCCAGGAACTGCAGTATTAAACCAGATTGAGTGTGTCCATGCAGTCCAGGAACTGCA